CTGCTCTGAGATGTGAGACCTGGTCTCCTGGTGTGAGACCTGCCTCTCTGCTCCGAGTCCTGCCCCGTATTCCCAGGCCTGCAGCAGAAGTCAGGGTAGCTGCAGTCCCGGCTCATCTCTCCCCAAGCCTGGCTGGCTTGAGGTGGGGAGACATTGGGCTGGTGGCAGAGCAGGCACTTCTGTCATCCTGGGGTGAGCTATGATGTAATCTCAGTCCCTGATGGTGCTTTTCAAGACATGACCTATGGGACACTTCAAAACCCATGCAGAACTTTACCCATAATCCTTCCAAGAGTTAAAGCAGCAGCTGGGGCTGATATTTCTATCTTACATAAAATTATCCTGAGTAATTTATTTGGACATGATGCTAAACGACTGTGCTAAAAGCAAGGAGAGAAGGTGGTTTGGTAATGCAGCCTTCTTGGCAGACTAAGCTGGTATGTGATCAGACAGGACTCGTATCAGGGAAGCCGAAGCCGAGTTCACCATCTGTTCCCGGCAGCCCTGGAACGCATCTGACCCAGCAGAGCTGCGCGGGGCTGGCTCCGACCGGAGCGAGCTGGGGCAGAGGCGAGGCGGCTCCACGCAGGGCTCGGCAGGGCCAGACTGCCACCTCCAGGCACACGGAGCTCACAGAGCCTCACCTCCTAATGACACAGCCAAATCGGGCCCGGGCAGCTGCAGGGGAAATGCTTCCGAGATGAGTTACTGGAAGCCTGAGGTAATGCTGGTGTGAGAAGGAAAAAAAAAAAAAGCTGTTTTACCAGGGAAAGACCAGCTCCCAGTGGTGCAAGATGGGATAAAATCCTCTTGGGGGACATTTAAGTAGGTGTGAAAATCCTGAGGTCTCTTTTGGTACAGGAAGGGGTTTATTTCCTGGTGTATCTGAGTGAGGGTGTCCATCACCTCTACTGGGATCGAAGACTTTGCCTCTTGACCAGCCCTTTCCCCAGAATCCTCTTCTCAAGGGGTTTCCTGCTGAGCCAATTTCTCTCAGCCATCAGGATCCCTGGGTGCATCCCTGGCCCCAGCCTGGCCAGATGGGAGTGCAGGAAGTCTGAAAACACGGCTCTGTGTCCTGAAGAAGTGTCTCCAGTGATGGACCTTTGCCAGACCAGCAATTTCCTGGCAGTACTTTTAAAAATGACACAACTGTGCCTCATCTTCCTGAGGCTGTGAGCAGGGTGATGCCCTAAGCATGATGTTCACAGGCTTTGACAAAGTGATGCTGTAATGACCAGGCCCCTCCCCACACAAAGCCTGGGCTGAGTGCCCCTGCCCCTGCCTAGGGAAGGAGCCAGGCACCAGCATCATCCACCCTTCCAAATGTTTGGTCTAAGAAATGTAAGAAAATCTCATACGTTTTGCAGAATGTGGACACTGGCTTTATTAATAACTGAAATACAGTAGTGAAATGTGTGTCCTCAGTGAACAGTAATAGGTTCCAGCATGCCCAGGCTGTCCCACTGTGCACAGTGACAGCACTGCACCATGAGCAAGGTATGATGCAGTTGCTGTCCCTGTCTGCATGATGTGATGAGAGTCTGAGCAGAACCTGCACAGGTGTGTGCACTGCACAGGATGAGGTGACCTTCAGAGATTCCATCTAACCATATTTATCACAGAATGGTTTGGGTTGGAAGGGACTTTAAAGCCCACCTTGTTCCCCACCATGTGTCAGGGACACCTTCCATAATCCCAGTCTGCTCCAAGCCCTGTCCAGCCTGGCCTTGGACACTTCCAGGGATGAGGCAGCCACAGCTGCTCTGGGTAAAGGAGAAGGATTAGGAGAAAGTCAGGGTTATAGTGATGGGAAATGTAAATACAGAAATGGGAGAGGTGAAGGGGAATGCAGAGCACAGGACTTGAAAGCTCATTCCTCAGCACAGGGGACACTGACCTGGAGCAGCTTGTCCAGCCTGGGACCTATGCTTCTGTAAAGGGGCACCAGAGAGAGTGGTGTGAGGGGGGACTGTGAGGAAGGAAGCTCTGGATGGGCTGGCATTCCATCTGACAGTGTGCAGGCAGGCTGGGGTAGGACAGAGCCCTGGGCTGGCCTTTCCTCATGTGTGGGATGGGGAGTAAGACTGGGGCCAGTGAACAGTCACCTCTGTCCTTGAAGCGTGGCAAAGGCTGGGAGCACGTGAGCCGGCAGTGACAGCTTTAGAGACAACCCCAGCCTGTGCTGGGGGGCCCTTTTTCTTTTATAGGGCATTTCCTAAAAATGGTGCTTTCTTTGTCCTGCAATTCATTTGCTGGTAAATCCTTCTCTGAAGGGCAGCTGGAACACAGCTAAACACCTTCAGGAAGAGTTTTGCAAGCAGACCTACAATATACTTTAGCTCAGACTTCAGGAGATGAGGGCTGAGGTTTTACTGGTTTGGTTTTTTGGTGTTAATTTTTCTTCTTTCTAAAAAAAATTCTGCATCTCCAGAATAAGGTAATGCTGAGTCTAGGAAAACCTGCAAGACACCCCCGAGGTTCAGAGGAGCCTTTGCACACAAGGTATCTTGTTCTTGCATCATGTCCTGCATGAGACACTCCTACATAGCAATGACTTGGTGGCTTTGGGGAGTGCTCTCCCAGTCCACAGCACTACTCCCTGGGAGCCTACAAACATCCTCCAGGCTCTTCCCTGTCTCTGTGGGCCCATCCCATGGCTACTCCTGCTTTGCAGGGAAGCATCCTTCACTTGTGGGAGGCTTTCTGGAGCAAGGGAGGTGGGACTAGCTGAGCATCTCAGTGCTGGTCCCCCTGAAGCAGCTGGGGTGTCCCCTATCCTCATTGCAAGTGGTGACAGCTCTGTGCAGCCCAGCGACAGTAACAGGCAAGGAGATGGAGCATGGAAAGAGGGATTTTTATTGTCCAGGGGGAAGCACACACTCTGAACATAAAAGGCAAACCCTGCCCCACCATCCCCACAGCCAGGAGCAGCCCAGTGACCCCACACTGCAGGATCTGACTCATGAACCACCTGGAAAGGGGCCATCTGGCAGCTCCCAGCCTCAGATCCTGCAGCCCACCTGACTGGGGTTGTCCAGCAAACCCCAAGGACACAGGTGTGGCACTGGTCTGACCTCTGCTCTCACCAGTGTGTCCGTGATGGAGTCCCAAATGTTGGGAAGAGAGGACAGGGCCAGCACCCAGCCCCCTGTGCTGCAGGGCTTGGATGAGCTTCATCACATGCTGGCTGTGGGGAGGGAGTGTGCCAGGGCTGAGTGCAGGATGCAGGGTGCAATACAAATGAAACAACACATTGCATCTGTCCCCCTTACAAAAAGCTTCCATAGGAAGAAGTAAAGTACCCGCCATAGTCAGAGAATCCATCAGCAAGCACACAAGTGCTCTGCATGGAAAACCAAGCCAGCCCTGGACAGGCTGGTTTAGCCAGGGTTATTGCAGCTGAGAAATGGCTTTAACCCACCCCCCACCCCCTTGTGCCCAAACAGGCCTGGCAGGAACAGCCCTGAGGCCACATCCCACCAGCACCTGCCTTGGAGTGATGCTGAGTTTGCTGTGCCATGTGAAGGACAGGGTGCTGTGGGTCAGGCTGGACCCTGCAGGGAGCGTGGCTCCTCTCCAGTCTCTCTCCCCTCCTGTCACCCCCACCCCAGCCATGCTCCCAGCAGGTGTTTTTTTTTGCAGTGAGTTCAGCCCCACAACTGAGGCTTCTGTGCTTTGAGACCATTTTGTGTACTTAACATCCTACTTCAGTACAACAGTTCCCAAACCCATAGAAAATTGTATTTACACCAAAAGGAAACTCCCAGCCCACAGCCTGCCCCACTCCCTGGTTCATCTGCACCCAGCTCAGCCTCTTGGACCAGCTCCACACATCTTTGGAGGCCACTGCTCAGCACCAGGCAAGCTCACCCAGAGAGATGCTCCTGTGGAGGACAGACCACTCTCCCAGACACTGGGGTCACCAGCAGTGAGATCCTCTGTGCCCAGAGCCTCTGTGCCCAGAGCCTCTGTCCCCTCTGTCACAGGATGCTGTGATTGCAGCTGGAAACACTGTCAGGATCCCTTCTCTTCAGGTGATCCAGCAGCCCTGGGCACTGGCAGGCAGGTGATGGCACAGCTCTTGGGCTTCTCTAGGACAATATAACAAAGAAGAGCTGTTTCTCTGTCCCTCTATCATGTGACACGGGAGCACACTCTCCCATTCCTCTCTGTTGTGGGGGAGGCCAGGATGATTCTGCTGGCAGAGAAACCTGAGCTTGTGGCCCTAAAAATATGCCTGGGCTGCCTGGAGGGCTGTGCTGGATCCGTGGAGGAATAGTGCTGGTGGGTTAAAGAGGTGGGGAGTGTCCTGCAGCACTCCAGGGCTTCTTGAGTCTCCAGGCAGAAGGCTCTGGACAACTCTCTTCCCAGCTGGGAAGTAAGGTCTGAAGGCAGAGCCAGATGTTCCTGGCACTGCCACCTTGTGTTCTGTCCCCTGCCCTCCTGCTCTTGGTACAGGTGGGCCACCTTCACGCTGGTGCAGTTCAGGAGGCCCAGGCTGGAGTACGCTGGGAGGTACGGGAAGCAGGGCTGTCTCTGCTGTGTGCAGTATGTGGAGCCCTGCTCAGTTCGGAGATCCCAGGAGCTCCCCAGCTGCCTGATCCAAAGGAGCTGTGTGCCACGGCAAGCCCAGCCCACTGCTCCTGGTTATTGCTGATGTGTCTGATGCTCCTCCAACTGCAGGAGCAGCTGGACCATCCCACTGGGTGAAGGGGTTGTCTCCTGTCCTGCATAGTTGCGGGGAGATCCCCAGTCCCACAAGGAAATAGCACAGTCATGATGTGTCTGCTTGGAAGGCTGCTCCCCCCTTCACCTGGGGGAAGGAAGCAACAGGACCACCAAGGTATCTGGAATACCATGTTTCCACCAATGCTGAAATCACAGAGATGCTGGCAGGGCTCCAGCACCTGGTGCCCCTGTTCCTGCTCACTACCCTGCAGCCCCTTTGCCAGGGTAAGTATTAAGGAATGCCTGATGCAGCTCTGCAGAGCTTTTGGTCAGAGATGCCTCCTGGGGCCGTTTGTGTTCAGCAGCTGGGATCTCATGGCCTGGATGCTGCTCAGGATCTTCTTCTGGTGGCCCATCATGGTGATGCCCAGACTCCGAACATCCCTGGAGAACAAAGACACTGTCAAAGACACCTGTGCCAGGCCCCAGGGAGACAACTGCACCCCATGGACCAGCCCAGGGGCCTGTGCCTGGCTCTTCTCCACGTGCCCATCAGCACAAGGCTGGTCCTGCCGAGGGTCCATGGACGTCCTCCCAGGGACAGAGAGACTGCCATTCTCTTGGACATGTCCTCCTGACAAGGCCACTGTGACAGCCCTGTGGGGAGCAGGAGCAGGATCACTCCTGACAGGCTCGTAGATGACAAGATCGATGCTGTGAAATTGGATTCAGTTTTAGTGAGATGCCCTCAGATAACCCAGTCAGAAGGATGGATGATGAGCCTTCCCCATTCAAAAGATTCTCTGATGTGCATGAGAAACAAGGATCACTATCAACTCAATCCCAGAGCAAAGGCCCCATGTACAGCCCCGATCAATGCACTTGACAACTCTCTGTGTCTCTCTGCCTTCCCTTTCACTGCCACAGGAGCCACTATCCAGCAGCTCCATGCCTTTGGACAGGGAACAAGTCACCTTAGAGGCTGAACAGGCTGTCACTACTGGTAACAGCAAGGGATGAGGGATGTAAGCAAGTATAAGGGCAGGAGCTGGCATAGTTGCCTTCTTTTCTGGTACTGCTTGGATGCTCCACCTTGGAAACTCCCTAGATAGGTGGGAGATCGAGATTCTTACAGCAGGAGGGTGATGAGACAGATCTTCTCCAGCTCTACTTCCTTAACCCACCCTTGGTAATGTGTTAATGACCTTCCAGTGATGTCTCCCTCCTGGCTGCACTGAGCAGGGAGCCAGTCCTGTGCACAGGGGTCTGACAAAGATCCAAGGTAACACCCAGCTAAGGTTGTTTCCCAGTGATCCTAGAGAAGCTGTGCAGAATAGCACAGCCACACTCCAGTCCAGAGGTGCCTTTTGCAGGGAAAGAGGAGACAAGGAGACAGCAACCTCCTGCCGGACCCTGCTGTGACCAGGAGATTGGGCTAGCAACCCAGCCTGGAGCACGTTGCAACCTGAATGACCTCCTATGGGCCTATGGTGACATTAAGGAGCCACCACAGAGCACTGGAGGTGACTTGGAGTTCACAGTCTCTCAGTACAACTCCCACACCTTCCCTCAAAGCTCAGCCTTGGACATTGTCCCAAGTCTCAACACCATTTGCCTGGACATATGTCTCTAGAACCAGAGACCAGCTAGAACGAGTCAGCAGCGGCAGGACGGTCACTTTTTGGGGCTGGCGGGTTGGTGTGGGTCTGGGGACACCCAGACAGTGCTGTTTGTTCCCTGCTACTCACTCGATGTTCATGCGCATCACCATGCCCAGGGAGGAGTACCCAGCCATGGCAAAGTTGTCCCGGTAGTGCCCCAGTCGGATGGAGTCCAGCCAGTCCTCCACAGTCAAGCAGCCGGTCAGGTCAAGGAGACCCCTGTCCAAGCGTGTCTGGGTGAACCTGGGAGCAGAACAGAAGGGGCTGGATGAGAAAGGTTGGTCCGAGGTGACCAGGCTGTGAGGGCCACCTGAATGCACCTATAGAGTCAGGAAAACATTACTGTTGGAAAAGCCCTCTGACATCATCAACTCCAACTGTGGACTCAGCACTGCAAGGGCTACCATTAACCATGACCCCAAGTGCCACATCCACACCTCCAGGGATGATGACTTCACCACTGCCCTGGGCAGCCTGCGCCAGGGCCTGACCACCCTTTTTGTGAAAAAAATTTCCCTAATATCAAACCTAAACCTCCTGTGGCACAACTTGAGGCCATTTTCTCTTTTCCTGTCCCTCATTCCCTGGGACCAGAGGCCAATTGCTGCCCAGCTGCACCCTCCTATTAGGGAGTTGTGGAGAGCCAGAAGGTCCCCCTGAGCCTCCTTTTCCCCAAGCTGAGCCCCTCCCAGCTCCCTCAGTCTGGAGCCAGGGTGCTCCAGACTCTTCCCCAGCTCTGAACACACTCTAGGCCCTCCATTTTTGTCTTGTCATGAAGAGCCCAGAACTGACCCCCAACCCCAGGATTCAAGGTGGGGCCTCACCAGTGCCCAGCACGGGGGAAATCACTGTCCTGGTCCTGCTGGCCACATTATTCCTGATCCAGGCCAGATACCATTGGTCACCTGCCCACCTGGGCACACAGCTGTGACACAGCTGATCTACAGATCGTGCAAAGCAGAACAGAGAGAGCCCTAGCAGGCAGATAAAGGCAGGGATACTGCTGCACAGACACTACTGCATTTCCTTGGCCTTGGCATGGCGATGCCATGGTGGGAGCAAGCGGATGAAATGCAGGAAGTTCCTCACTACCCACCACAACCTATGTCCGTGGGGCCTGTGCATGTCCATGCTCCCAAGGGCCATTGGTGCTGCAGCCAGGCAGGACTGCAGCCCACATGCTCTGACCCTTAGCCATTAGCCATTAGCCCCTGCTCACACAGGGGTCAGGGAGCCCTCACCTGTTCATGGTGCCCGCGCACTTGAGATTGTCGGGGTTGCGGATCAGCTTGTCCAGGATGCCGACAATCTGGGAGAAGCGAGGCCTCTCGCTGCGCTCCTTCTGCCAGCAGTCCAGCATCAGCTGGTGCAGGGTGCTGGGGCAGCCCATGGGGGCAGGCAGGCGGTAGCCTTCCTCCACAGAGTTAATGACCTGGAAGCAAGCCACAAGCTGCAGTGGGGCTGCACCCCCATCCCACTCCCAGCCCCGCCGATGGGGAGATCCATGAAAGCTGCTGGGGCCGTGGAATGGGAAGCAGAGGGATGTGCACAAGCTCCGTGCTACACAAGTGAATGGCTGCGTGCAGGCTCTGTGCAGAGCTGGCAGCAGGCTGGACATCACACACACGCAGGAAATCAGTGCTATGACAACAGAGTTGTTTAGTGGTCCAGTGGCCTAAAATACTGCAGCTTCCCTCCAGCAGACAAGCCGTAAGGGCTGCACTCACACTCAGTTTTTCTACAGCCAGGGTGTGGCACTGGTTGGCAAGGCTGGAGGAAATGCTGCTTGAAGAAATTTTGTGGAGGAGGTAGTGTAAGCCACTGCATTCATGCCCTGCTGTCATCAAAGCCACCACAAAATAAAAAAATAAAAAAAAATAGGAAGAGTTCCCCTTCCAGCAAATGGGGAGATTTATAGTCCTCATAGGTAAAAAAAGGAATCCTGTGGTTCTGGTTCTGCAGAGCCAAAATACTCATTTTACTGCCTCCTTTTGAAAATTTTGCCCTCAGGTTGTGCTCAGGATTATAACCTACATTTCCCTTCAGATTTTATGCTACTGTTGAGTGAGAGTGGCTCCACACAACTCAGACAAGCCCAAAGCCTACAGCTGGGTGGTGCTAGCCTGAGGCTCTCAGCAGACTCATTTGGACAATGGAAGGGATGGACGCCAAGCATTGGAACTGGCAGGCTGGTGCAGTGGGGCTGCAGTGATGCTAGGGAAGCCCTGACCCCTTCCAGGGACTGGAAAATGTGGCACAACATGAGCTGACTCTCTCCAGCCAGCAGAAAGGCAGGATTGCAGACAGCCACAGAGTGCACAGCCAGTGTGGCAGAGATCTCCTTGCCTGCATTTGTACTGGGAACTTAAGTCAGTGTCCCCAGGAATGGGGCAGGACTGGAAAGAGCCAGCAGGTAGGTCAATATATGAGCTCTGGTCACTCCTGGGTTCCATGGGACTGCAAAGGCAAAGGCTGTGCAGTGCAGGGATGGACTGCTGTCACCACAGAGGGGACATGCACCCTGTGCACAGCCCCTGGGGATGAATGCTGATTGTTGGGCCCCTGTTCCCAGCCCCCTGCCAGGCTGGCCTGGGGAAGGCAGGAGGAGGGGCAGGTTTGGTACCACTCACGTCCCGGTTGGTCATGTTCCAGTAGGGCCGCTCGCCGTAGGCCAGCACCTCCCACATGACTATTCCATAGCTCCACACGTCGCTGGCCGAGGAGAACTTGCGGTACGCGATGGCCTCGGGAGCTGTCCAGCGGATCGGGATCTTCCCACCCTGGAAAAGTCAGAGTGGAGGCTGAGAGCAGGCAGGGCTCAGCATTCTGAACTCTGCAGCTGGGACAGCTGTTGGACAAGTGATAAGCTGGGGTGGCATCTTCTAAAAAGGACTGAGGAGGTAATCTGCCCAAAATAAGCCCAGAGGTGTATGTGAAGGATGACCTCAAGGTGCTTCTAACAGAGCAAGGAGAACACTGTGCTCTTTTACAAGGTCTTCATGCACAATTTGGTTCCCCAGTGCTCAAGAGAGAAGGAATTCATCCAGAATTGTGGGCTACCAGAGCACACAAGCACAGAGCTGACTCTGTGTGCAAGCAGAGAGCCTGACTTTAGCAGACAAGGAGAGTGATGGGGTGTGCTCCCTGTCCCTCCCTGCTTTGACTTTCAGGCAAGGACTGAAAAGGCAGATGCATTCAATTAAAGTACCATGCTGACAAAAATCAGCAGTATATGGACTAAGAATGCTTTTAAGCTGGAAATGTGGTTGCAAGCCATCTGAAGAGGAAAGTTGCAGTGTAGGGGACATTGGGTGGGCTTCCCAGAGCATCTGGGGCAGGAATGGTGTGCCATCACCATTCAGGGATACCTGTATAGGGAGAGTTGCCTCTACCCAGGTAAGTCCTGCCTGCTCTGGCATTGCCTTGATAAGGACTGAAGATGAACAATGTGTCTTTTGGGAGAGTTCCTTGGGTGGAGCAATCTCCTGAGCATGTTGAAAACAACACAAGAGGAATACAAGTTTCTGAACACAAAATAAACCTCATTTGCAGGGTACCCTGACTGAGACCTCACCAGAGATCCTGACTGTGCCACTGCATCCTTGTGGTTCAGCTCTGCCCACAATAAGCACTATCCAATCTTCCTCCAGAGCAACCAGCTCTGGTGGGTTTCACTGCATCAAGGTACCCCAAAGCACCAGAAACCAAGCAGCAGGAACCTTCCCCAAAGTTAAATTATCTGGAATGACATGCTGTTTCTTGAGATACCAGAAGGAGCAGATGAATGCACAGACACACACACTCAGAGGGAGCCCATCTGGCTCAGCTTCTCCACTTTGCTGAAGCCAAGCAAAGACCATGAAGGGCCACGTTCTTTAGGCTGGACCGTGGTGCACTCATCCCTCAGAGCTACAGCTGCTCTGGGACATGCTCAGCATCAACTACCCCAAAGGAGCCTGAAGCTCTTTCTGCTTCTGTAGTCTTGGTCTTTCTGGGAAATGATGCTCGGACTCCTTTGCTACGGCTCCAAACTGGCCTCCATCAGGAGCAGTCTGTCCACCAGATGTGTTCCAGGGGAGCACACTACTTCTTTTCATGGCTAGAGAAGAGCAAAGAGAGCTCAATTTATTTAACATATTCTACGTTTTTCATGAAAATGCATTTCATTTTGCTCCTAATGACCTCCCATGGAGGAGGACATCAAGAAACAGAGCTGCCACGTTGGCTAGAAAAATCTCAACATGGCTTCACAGACAAAAGTGTCCTGCACGAAATAAAACCACAGGTTGCAAAATCAATTCCCACCTTTTCCACATCCATGAATGAGGCAGAGTCACATGGAAAAACCAGTGTGTGGCCACAGTGCTGAAGGGTGGACGAGAACACCCCACTATGGATTGATGGCTCTAGGACAACTGAGGATCGGATGGAGCTACACAGCTTAGGGAAGGACTCCAGTGGGGACACAGAGGCCACACACACCCATGGGAGCAGTTGGCTGGGAATGTTTGATAACTCCCTGTCCTGCTGCTCTTTGTTCACTGCACACTCAGTTCTGGGATGTCCCTGTGTCAAGGACAACGCATTAAGGCTCAGGAGCTCCTTGAGTTCACACTGTTGGCCCAGATATCACCAGGAAGTAACATCGCCATTCCTGCTCTACCTATTTTGACTTGAGAGTCTCTGACTTTTCCATGTGTCAGAGGCCTGGGGCAGCAACCAGCAGCAGGGACCAGCTCTGTGAGCCACCCACCGTGGTGGTGTACGCAGCATCGGGGTCGTCCTCCAGGATGCGGGAGAGGCCGAAGTCGGACACCTTGCACACCAGGTTGCTGTTGACCAGGATGTTGCGGGCGGCCAGGTCCCGGTGCACGTAGCCCAGGTCAGACAGGTAACTCATGCCTGCCCCAATGCCCCGCAGCATCCCCACCAGCTGGATGATGGTGAATTGCCCATCGTGCTTCTGGAAAGGAAATACCCCAGAGTTTGCTTGTGGTGCTCACCGCCATCCTGTTGGTGCTGCTGTCATTAAATCAGCCCCCCAGTGCCTGTCATCTTTGGCTCTGTACCTCCTCTGACCCCAGTGCTTCCTGCTTGTGCCCCTGCCCACTTCCTGCCCTCTCAGTGCCTCTGACACCTGCTCAGGCTGTTGTCCCTGCTTTTGCAGTGTCACTTCAGGGAGCCAGACACAATGCCTTGAGCCTGTGTCTGCTGGAGAGGTGGGAGCCCAGCACCCACAGCTCTCTCTCCACAGGGGTTTCACTGGCTGTGAGGCTGAGGAGCAGGAATCAGGCCCAGGGGATGTGCAGTGAATGAAAATACAAACTCGCTCCTTACCCTGAGGAAGGTGTCTAGTGAGCCGTTCTCCATGTATTCAGTAACAATCATTACCAATTTGCCTGCAGAAGACAAGGGAGGTCAAGTTAGCAGAGAAGTCACCTTCCTCCAGGAAGCCCAGTGCCAGGTTTTCATTGAGAGAGACATGAATTCAGGTCTGTGGGTCTTCTGCAGCCCCTCAGACTGGTGTCACCCCTGCACTGGGCAGGACTGTCCCAATGATGGGGATGTAGCAACAACCCAGACAGGTATCCCTCCCTCCAGGTGCTATTGACATGGCTAGGTCAGTTTCGTTACCCTGCTGAAATTTGCATGCCATTAGTGTAAGGCTTTGCATCAGAATGTGCCTTTTTGGAGGAAGACTTCAAATTATGATTCAGTACAGGCAGCCTTTAAAATAAATGTCTTTGAGTAGGACATCTCCCAAACCAACAACGATCTAGAGCACACTGCAGAGCATGGAACTGCCATGGGGAAGTTTGTTCTCGAAAAGAAGGCAAGGGGTGGCTGTCCCAGGTAAATGCAGAAATCTGAAAAGCCACTGGGGCAGTGAAGGATGGAGTGCACCCAAAGTGAGCCCTGACCCCATCTCCCAGGCTGCCCCCAGGGAGATGCATCCCAGCTCTGCTCCGCCATACACTCCCTCCCCTTCCAGCCACATACTCCTGGTGACCACCCCCTCCAGGTGGATGACGTTGGGGTGGTCGAACTGTGCCATGATGCTGGCCTCACTCAGGAAGTCCCGCCTCTGCTTCTCTGTGTAGCCAGACTTCAGTGCTTTGATGGCCACAGGAATCTCCCTCTTCCCTGGCAGCTTCAGGCGGCCGTAGCACACCTCTCCCGACTCCCCTGCAAGGCAAGGGAAAGAGGGGGCATGGAGAGCTCCTCAGCTTCTTGTGCTCACCCACCAGCACCATGAATCATCCAGTCTGTCAGCATACTCACAGCATGCCTCAGCCCCTCTAGCTTTCAGTCTGGATTTCAACCCCCTCAAACCCCTCCAGGATTCAATCCTCTGAAAGGATTGATCAGCTCTTGCTTCTAGTTCAGGAAGGGTGGGAACAACTGAAACACCTCTCTCTGGTGCCTGTCACTGAAGGTAATGGGGCAAGGGCAGTGATTACAGTGGCATCATTCCTCTGGGTTAGGCCCTCAGGGTGCTGCTGGTGAAGTTCTGACTCCAGCTCTACACTGTGCTTCCCCAAAAGCCCCTGTTCCTATGGAAAATCCCCTTTTGTTCTGAAAATGTGCCATTTTGCTTGGAATTTCACTTGCATCTTATCACCCCAGTTTTTTTCATGGGTGCATGTTGGGACACCCCTGGGGACAGGCTGAGCCATCTGCTGTGTCAGGTTGAGCTGCCAGTCCCACACCTGCTGACGAGCAAGTCCCTGCACCAGGCTGCTCCAGAGGGTTTATTTCACTCCTCCAAAGCCCCATTCCACCCAAGGTTTTGATCTCACAAGGCTAAGGAGCAGATGACACCCTGATGAGTACAGCTCTGATCCCAGCGGGCCAGGGGCATGGCACAACCTCAGATCATGGATTTCCCCGAGCAGACACCATGCAAAGGGGCAGCTGGCCACCAGGACTCACCAGACCCGATGACCTTCTCAATCTTGATCCGGGAGGCCTCTATTTCACGGGTGAACTCATGCACAGCTTGGCAGGGGTCCTCGTATGTGTGGGGGTCCACATAGAACTTGGACTCGGGGAACTTCACTGCCGGGTTTCAAAGTGGAGAGGGGAGATCAGCACTCTCAGGCAGCCCTGCTGGGAGGAGGGACACCCAGCCACAGGGCAGAGGATAGGCAGGGGCAGGACAGGCTGAGGAGCCATGGAGATACAGCACAAGGAACCCTAAGTCATGCTTTGGTGCAGCAGTGTCCTCAGAGCTGTTCAGGACCTGGCTGCCCAGGTGTTCTCCATGTGATTGTCCCACTGCATCACCCCCCACCCCTGTCCCTGGCCTGCTGCTCTCTGGGATGATCCTGTGCACTCTCAGTGCACAGTGTTCAACATTTCAACCCCACTACCAGGATGCCCCTGGGATCAGATCACACACTCAAATCTCCTAAGACACGTTCCCAGAAGGAGGCAACATATAAAACTCTTCCCCTTGGAAACCACAGCACTGTCAGGGGGTAAGAGTCCATCTCTGCCCATCCATGGGGCTGGAGTTCTTCCCAGAGAGTGTCCTACCTTGCCCATTCTGATAATGCATCTTCTCCTCATCAGAGTCCTGGAAAGCCTTGCTGTACCCACAGTGCCTGCCACAGGAGGACCAGGTCAGAATAGAAGCCCCCATCCCTCACTCCCACAAGCATTCCAAAAACAGGGTAGAAGGCAGTGCATGCTGGGGCTGTGGGCAGCCAGAGAAAACACTTGGCCATCCACCAGCTGCATCCCTGCATCTCACTGTACTGGCACTTTGGTCTGGATCAAAGTACTCTCCAGGTGCTCTCCAAGGCTTGGCAGTGCTAAAAGCATGTGTGCTCCATGTGCCTGGTTCAGCCATGCTCATACAGAGCACACAGTCTCCCTTGGATCTGTCTGCTGTAGAAAAGATCTCTCCACCCCTGACCTACCCACCACTCCCTCCAGTCAGCTCTTGTACTGGTAGTACTTCTGTTACTGGTATTGCTATTGCTCGTGCTACTGATATTCCACATACCGTATATTATAATATACACACTGATTTATTACTATTCAGCCTGCTGGCATGGTGGGAAGATCTGGAGACTGGCTCTGACTTAGGGAAATGAAGTCTCTTGGCTGCTTATTAACCCTGGACCTATAGATGCTCTGAACAAACTGAAAGGAGAAAAGTTGTGCCCAAGTTCTCCCATCTCTCCTGTCCCTGTTGGAGACCTACAGAAAACCCCACTAGCCTCCACAAAACTCTTACCTCTTCTTGCAGATCAGAACCACCAGCAAGGTGACAAGGCCAGTGATGAGTGTCAGGCAGATCCAGACAATTGTCATTGTGTCGTACCGGAGAGACACTGGAAAAAGCAGGGTAGAAAGGGGGTGAGCTGGAGTGGGGGAATTCACTGCTGAGCTCAGGAACATACCTACCCCATGGTCTTCAAAGACAAAGCCTTGGGCTGACAATGCGGTAATGGTCTTCAAAGATGAAGCACTGTCCCACCTATTCCCAGTTTTGAGCCTCTCCCAGTGTAGAGGGACCATTTACATGTGGGGAAACCAAGGAGAGATCTGAGAAAGCCATGGTGACACAGCAGACCAGTACAGAGAGGGGACTGGAGCCTCAGGACCTCTTCAGGTCTTCCCTGCCCTAACTGCTACATCCTTCCTCCCTTTTCTTTCTAATGTATAAGAATAGAATCACAGAATCATTAAGGTTGGAAAAGACCTCTAAGATCACTGATCATTAGCATCACAACCATTAACCCAGCATGGCCAAGGCCATCATTTAAACATGCCCCCAGGTGCCATATCAACAGATTCATCGAGCACTTCCAGGCATGGTGACTCTACCACTGTTGTGGGCAGCCTGTTCGAATATCTACTTTCAGTGAAGAAATATTTTCTATTATCCAACCTCAACCCTGTTTCAACTTGAGTATGTTTGCTCTTGCTCAAAACATGTCAGGAATGCAACCTCAAGCAATCCCTGCAGGCTGAAACACTTGGGTGATGTGCCTTCAGGCCCCCTCCCTGTGTGGCAGAGGAACAGTGGCCATGGAGAAGGGCATCACCAGGCCCCATGCTTCCTGCCCCACACTTCCCACACCCCACACCTGCACACACTCACCTGGCTTCCCCGTTTCCACCTCCACAGTCTGACTGAACCTCCCGCAGCCGGCAGAGGTGCGAGCCCGCACCTGGAAAACGTAGCGGGTTGCAGGCTTGAGCCCAGAGATGGTGGCAGTGGTGCTCTTGGATTTCAGAGTTGAGTAGCTCTGCATTTCCTTGTCCTGGGGAAAAACAACAACAAAACCTTCTCTGCATTAGCACAGCAACCACAAAGTCTTCCAAAGAAGCAGGGAGCTCTCAGAGAAACAAGCTCAGTGTTACCTTCTCATAGTACTTGATCTCATACTCCAGGATGATGCCGTTGGGCTGGTCTGGCTCTTGCCACAGCAAGGTGACGCTGTTCTGGCCTGTGCTCTCCTGATGCACTACCACCACCTGGGATGGGGCTGGGGACCAGACATAGGGGGTTAGGTGCCTGCTGAGGGAGGGCAGCAGGAGACAGCAACAGAGAAGGGTGGAACCAGAGCCCCAGGCAGGACCCCTGGCTTAAGCCAGGTTTCTGGTTTAATTAAAGCCACGTAGAGATGAGTGCTGTGATGGGGATTGCAAACAGGCTTTTCCTTGTTTTGGCTGCATCAGTCTCTTTCCCATGGATTAAAGCAGCTCTGAGAAGATGAGAGAGGAGAGCACTGTCCCAGCACAGGCAGGAGGGGAAACGGGTGATTTGCTGTGATCTGGAGCCAGAAAGGAGAAAGACCAGTGTGGTTGCAGGTCATGGAGAGTGTGGAGGCTGGTGGGCCTACACAAAAAGGGTCCATTATGGTTCCTTGGACGGACGGACCCTAAGTCAGAAAAATCTCCCCTGTTCAAGGCAACTGAGCAAAGCCTCTCCCAGGATGCTTTGTTGTGTATGCAAATGTACCCCAGTTCTACCTCCCTGGTTGGCCTGTTGGCCTCTCCGTCCCTTTTTCCTCATATGTATATGCCCTAGAATGTTCTCCCTTCCCTGCTTACCCATTGGCCCCACATTGCTGCAGTGTCCCGCCCCCTTTACCCTATTGGCTGCCACCCCTTGTCCCGCCTCTGTACCACCCTGAGCCCTCAGCCCATTGGCCCTGATGCTCTGCTCTGCCCCCCCTTGTCCTCCTTATTTAAACCTGGACCCTGCACTGTTCTTTTGTCTTTGTCCCTGGACTCCTTCGTGTGTGGCTGGAATAAACCTCCTCCTCAGAACTCCATACAAAGGCCCTTCCCACTTCTTTGTTGTTGGTGATTCTACAGGAGCTACCTGAAGCGTGTGCTGGAGTGATTGTGTGTGTGTGTGTGCCTGTGCCACGCGGATTCGTTACTGGAGACGCTTCTGGAAGGTCACAGCACCGCTGCCTCTCGCTCGACCGCCAATGGACTAACAGCTCGAGATCCCTAACAGCACCCTGTCCCCTCTTGTTCTACCTGCAGTAAAGGGAGAAGGGCAGGGGAAGAGGGAAAGGGGACATGATAACCGTGGTCAGGGTCTGAGCAGCAGTCTAAAAGTGCCTGGGGGTGCTCTACTGCCCTGGGATATTTGTCATCTTCCCAGTCCTGAGCTGGGAGCCTGTGAATCTGTTCTTGTACCTGTAGCCATGCCTGAACTGTAGCTGTCACAGCTGAAGGAACCAACTCACCAGCCTCTTTTCCTACAGGGAAAATATCCACTGGAAGTTCCCCAGAGCGTAGTGGGTGCTGTGATGGCCAGGTGCAGCCATAGGGTCTGACTCATGGGAAGGTTTCGGGTCCCATTTGTGAGCTTCATTGTCAGGTGAAAAACAGGATGTAGCAGCTCTGGGGAAGACAGAGCTGCAGTGGCCATGGCTGCAGTGCAGGGATGTCATCAGAGCAGCACAGAGACCAATAGAGGCCACAAGGACTGCAGCAGCAATTTTAGCTCTTTGGGGCTGGCTCCTCTGAGAAGCAGAAAATGCTTATGGTACAGAGCACCCTGTACCACGTGGGGAGATGGGACAGGGTAGGACGGTGGGAATCAGTTAAACAGCATGAGCATGGGCAGTGCCTTTACACCAAACAGCCCAGGGAATCTGTGCTGCATCTGCCTTAGCCAATGGGGCTGGGGGGACAAGGGTGACCAGCACCCAGGAGGTTCCCTCAGCCCCCGGGAGGGCAGGGGCCTCTGTCACGTGCAGCTGCTGGAGCACAGAAGCTGAACTACTAAATTCCCAACCCCGCTGCTTTCACAGCACCTGCTCAGAATCCATTTTGCAGCTGAGTGGTCAAAATAGGAATACTCAGCACTTCCTGAGAGCATATCCATCTGAGACATCAGGCTGAGGCAGCTCATCAGCACTTGGAGGGATTGTGGGGGATCAAGGCAGCATGACAGAGCCATTTCCACATGCTGCAGAAGTACTACAGGCTGGCATTAGTGACAAAGGGGCCTGTTCTCTTGCCAGCCATGAGCTATCCAGCAAGGCTCCCAAGTTTCTCCCACTGGTACCACTGCCATGAGAACAGAAGGGGCTCAGCATCATGGGAAGTTCTTCTGGGCTCATTTCAAACTGGGAGGACTGACAAGGAGGATCAGTCCCTGCCCTGATCCCTCTGCTTACAGTGTGCTACATGGAAAAATGCCACGGAACAATGTCCTGTCCTACCTGGGCTAGAGCACTGCTCAGAGGATTTTCCTGAGGAAAGATCATTTTGCAGTGAGGAATTTGCAAAGGTGAGACATGTATGAGAGAGACTTTCCCCAGCAAACATTGTTGCCACTTGCTGGGGCCTGGCATGGATGTGAGATAAGACCAGAGTATGAACTGCTGCCTGGCCATTTGGGAAGGGACAAAAGGCTGGAGGATCAGCCTGAAACATTCATACTCTAGTGTTCCTGTCAATAAACAAATGTTCTCTGTGTCCCCTGTGTCTTGCAGAAAAGGAGCCTCCAACAGTGTCTGCAAGCTGAAATGAAGGGAACAGAGAAGGGAAAAGGACACCATGAAGCAGAAGCAGAAAAGGGTAAGAGTTATCTTGGGCAGCAACTTATCCCCAGCCCATCCCAGTTCCCTGAACCCACCTCCAGCAGCACAGAGGCCCATTTCTTGGGTCCCATTTCTTGGCTGTCCCAAGCACATCAGCAAATCAGCCCTTCACTGCTGGAGCAGGTTCTGGCTCCTGCAGACACTGCCTGGAGCAATGCCGGAGCAACATCAGCATCACCCCCACAGGCCAAGTCTGGAGGGTGGGTCTGCTCCTCCTACCTGCCTGGTTTGTCGTGATGTTGGCGACCGCGGCTCTCCTGGACTCCAGGCTGAGGTCGGAGACGCCGTTGACAGCCTCCACCCAGAAGGAGTAGTTGGTGTGTGCCAGGAGGTTGGTGACGGTCAGCACTCCCTGCACCAGGCTCATCTGCTGGGGCACGAAGCGGATGCCGCTGCCGCAGGCCTCGCAGGGCCCCGCGTCCCCCGCGCAGCGCCGGCACAGCACGTTGTACACGACGTCCGCACGGCCGCCCTTGTCCAGGGGTGGGCCCCACTCCAGGGTCACAGAGGTGCCGTTCACACTGGAGATCAGGTTCACGGGAGCAGAGGGGGGCCCTGGAAGAGAAGCAGGGATTCAGGCAGAGTGAGGGCTGCAGGAGTATTGGAGCATGGGACTAATGGAGATGCCTTGGGCAGCAGGACCTGAGTTCACAAACACTGCTGCAAGGGACACAGAACTGCCAAGAGCAGGGAATGTGCCGGACATGAGACAGCAAAGACACAGGCAGGGCACAGGGTGAAATGCCTTGGAGGTAAAACAGTCAGGATATCAGGATGCCAAATGCCAGACAGCAAGAGCTGGTGTTAGTTCTGAGGGAAGCAGGAAGCAATAGTGAAGCATGAAGATTTGCGGGGAGAGCCACAGTTGATGAGCTGGATATGCTCACCTAAAGGGAAAGATGAACTCACATTTCCTTGGCAGGTTAATAAACTTGGGTGGGTATTCCTTAGGGAAACACAAGTCAGGTGCTGCTTATGCCTCCTTCACCCTGGCCTCAGCTAGCAATGCCACATCTGTCTGTCTTCCTGGACCAACTACAGAAAGGAGGACTCCCCCTGGGATGTCCTTGTCCCCTTTTAATAGCACTGGGCCCCTCAAAGCAGCCTATTGCAAAGTTGAGCTGAGACCATATGACAAACCCTGGTGTCACTGTCCACCCACAGAGGAGGAGAGCACAGAAACACTTGCACTGACCCCATGGCTGCCCAGGGGTGTCTGACCACCCAGTGCCCTTCTGGGGAGGGAAAGCTGGGGTGCGGGTCAATCACTTCTCCCAGGTAACAAGTGACAGGACAAGAGGAAACGGCCTCAAGTGGTGCCACAAGAGGGTTAGATTGGGTATTATAGAAAATTGCCTCAAAGAAAGGATGGTTAGGCATTGGAACAGGCTGTTCAGGGAAACAGCGGAGTTACTATCCCTGGAAGCGTTCCAAAAAATGTGTGGATGTGGCACTTGGGGGCACAGTTTAGGAGTGAGCATGGTGGTGGTGCTGGGCTGATGGATGGACTGACAAACACAGAGGCTTTTCCAACCTTAATGATTCTGTGACTCTCTGATCCTGCTCAGGGTGTTTGGAGAGCAGCAGGATGGGGGTGACACAGAGGCAGGGAGGGAGTGCAGCTAAGCACTCTCAGCTCACATGCAGACAGACACTCAGGGCTGTAGGGCTGGTGGAGCATCTTGGGCAGCAGGTCCAGGGCCAGGGGAAGTGCTGGGCTCAGCCAGGGGCAGCACCAGGTCTGAGGATGCAACACATGCCCCAGTGCAGCATAGCTGGGCACAGGGCAGCCAGGGCTACTCAGGGGCTACTCAGGGGGTACTCAGGGGGTACTCAGGGGTACTCAGGGGTACTCAGCATCTTGGGCAGCAGGTCCAGGGCCAGGGGAAGTGCTGGGCTCAGCCAGGGGCAGCACCAGGTCTGAGGATGCAACACATGCCCCAGTGCAGCATAGCTGGGCACAGGGCAGCCAGGGCTACTCAGGGGCTACTCAGGGGGTACTCAGGGGGTACTCAGGGGGTACTCAGGGGTACTCAGGGGTACTCAGGGGGTACACTCACGGGTGCAGGCGGCCGAGGGGGGGTCCTGCACAGCGCGGTAGAAGCTGCTGTCACAGTGGCACACACGAGCTGCCCGGCTCTCCGAGTGGCTGTGCAGGGGACATTTGGCACACAGCTGGTCCCCAGGGGCTGATTTGTAAAACCCCAGCTGGCAGGCTGCAGGGAGAAGGGCACAGGTCAGAGGAATGTGCCTGGATGAGGATCATCCCACAGCTCAGCAGATCCCACCAGCACAAAGCTCAGCTCTGTTCTCATGCAGTGCACAGGAAACCAGCCTCTCTCCCCTGCACCTGGGTGAGTCCTCTCCAGCTGCTCATCTGGAAACTGGGCTCTGTGGAAACTTCTGTTCCCCCAGCTGCACTTACTGCCATCCTGACACCTGTTCCCCACTGCTTCACAAGCAAACTTGTGTGCCTCTGCTGTTCAGGAGCTGCCTGCAAAGCTCCAGGTATTCTTGCCACTGTGCCTGCTGTCTAGCCACTGTCTGCCTTCAGGACAGAGAGCACTGCAAGGATCAGACCATGCAGCGCTGGAAATCTATTGGCACCTACTCCAAAATGCCATTTATGGGGCAAATTTACATCACAGTCCTCACTTCATGGTGGTTGCCACAAACATTGGCTATGCCCAAGTTTCCAAAAGCATCTAAAGTGGGAAGTTTCAGAAATTAAATCTCCACATCTGGGACATGGTACATGTCCCTCTGCAAGACCCTGGGGTGCTGCCACACAGAGCAAAAAGTTGTCTTGCACAAAATGATAGGGAAAGAGCCTCTCTTGTTGCATAGTACAGCAAAAAGGCACTGCACGCCTGCTGCCCTCTCTCTGGAGGCAGTGGGACATTCAGGCCAAATGAGACAGCCCTGGAAAAAAGTTTTTTTTCTGACAGTACAACCTGGCTGCAGTTTCTCTGGCTCCTCCTGATGCAGGAGCTCATCCCATGCCCATCTCTCTGCCTCATCCTGCTCCCAGCAGCCCCTCGGGTAGATCATTTGTCACACAAACAAACAGCCTGTCTCTCATTAAAAAATCGATTTGTTCAAGAGTGACATGTGGCATGTCAGGTATCAGTCTGGGGATGGAAGGATCTGCCCTCTCCTGCAGACTTAGGTGCCAAATAAGGGAAAGCAGGCTCTGTCTGGGTCCCTGTACTCATGAGGTACTTTGAGGACCAATTCTAGTGATTCAAGGATTATTCCTGACTCTGACTCATCTCTGTTTTTTCCCACTGAGGTAGTAATACCTTCATTTTCTCATCCTTACCTCCAGTGGCCAGATTTGCATACAGCCTCAATCTTCACTTTCAGGCATGTAAAAGGGGTTTTTTTGTGATCCAGCATCCTCAGTGGGCTGTGTCCCTCCATGCTGTTTGTTCTGTTTCAAGGTGCTGATTTGTTTTCTTATTCATAACGCTCCTTTCCTTGCCACAGGTCTCCCTGGACTGATGCTACCTGCATATTCACACTGCACAGTGACACAAGGGTCTTTTTATAACTGAGCTACTCTGGCAATAGCAGCTGAAGGCAGTGCTCCAGTCATGCATCCCTGGTGTGGGGAGCACTTGCTGGTCCCTCTCCAGGCTCTGTCACCAGTTTCTTTGGCACTTTTACACCAAATGCTCTATTAACAGCAGGGGAGTCATACCACTGGCAGGACAGACACGTGCTGCACGTGCCAGAGGTGGTGTCACAGGCTGGTGTCACTTCTTGGTACAGCAAAGGCCAGCAGTTTCAGACTTTGTTCCTAAATTTCTGCCTCTCCACTCCCCAAAGGGCATCAGGGCAAGGAGCAGAAATGCCCAAATTTGGGGATGCAAGGGAAGGCAGATGTGAAATTCAGCAGCTTGGGGCTGTTTTTTCCCCCCAGCTCTTCTGGCACCTTTTACCTCCTCAAGGGCATCAGGAGAGGAGAGAACACAGGGGTTGCAGATTTCAGGGGAGGTTTGCTGTCCATTTCCAGCTGGACAGCAAACCTCCCAAGGACAGCCTGAGACATTTGGCAGGCTCTGGTGCTGATTGGTCCTGATGATTCAGGGACTCTGCCCTTGCCAAGTGCCCCCTGATGCACCACCCTCCAGTCTGCAGCCCATTGGTTTTGGGTGTAAGACTGAGATGAGCACAGACACACCCTGTTCTTACGTGGGGACAAATCTGGGAGGCAGCCAACTGGTGGAAAAAACCTCGGCCAAACTCCAGAATAATTTAGAAGAAAGAAAATTTCCCAGTTTTTCCGTGTGGGAAAGGATGAAGACACTGCATGAGCACGGATGGGAGATGAGCAATGGGACAGCCCCTGTCGGTGCTGTGCAGGTGCAGGACAGGAACTGCTGCCTTTAACTTGTGTGAATGTCCCTTGGACCTGCAAACCATCATCTCTACCCATGCAGCAACCAGCGACTTGTGACTCCAGAGGCACTGGAGTGCTTCCCTCCACCACTATTTAATTAAGGGCAGAGAAATCAGTGCTACCTCAGGTACGAAAAGACAGGCAGCAGGAAGGATGGGAACACAAAGTATAGCAGATTTGCACAGAGCAATTGTAATCACTTAGCATTTAATGCTGTAAAAAACCCATTAATTACCTGTAGCAATGAGTCACAATTATTTTAGATGCACTCAAGGGGAAAATTATAGTAAATGACAAATTGCAGGTGAATTTGTGCACCAGGGCAGAGCCAGCTCCCAGCACGTGGACAGCATGAGCACGCAGGGAGGGCTGGGGAACACCTGGTGCTGGGACAGGCACTGCTCGGGGGGTCGTGCACCTCTGGGTGTCTCAGTGCCCACTTCTGAGGGAAGCAGGACACACGTGCAAAGCCTTCACAAGCACGGGAGAGGGCATCAACTCGAACCTGCACATAGTCAGTACTGGATGCCAGGCATGTCCTGCTCTGGACTGAGCTCTCGTGCCATGCCAGTGACATGTGGAAGACCAGGACCTCCCAGGTTAGCTCTGGGAAGAGCAAACAGCAGAGAAGTGACCAGTAGGAAGAATTCAATCAAATGCACCAGGTCTAAAACACACTGGGCTCCACAGCCGTGGTTGTGGCACACACAGAAGCCTCCCAAGTCTGCAGCCACCCAGCAGAGAGGTACAGAGTGGTTGTTCTGCTCTCTTCACTGCAGTTGAATATAGCCACCTGCCAGAAGTGCCCTCCCTGCAGCCCTGGGGAAGGTGAGGGTTTCTTTTATTCCCATTATTTTATGTAATTGACACCCTTGCTCTGAATCTGAGGATCTCAAGTCCTGCCTCTTTGTGAGCCACCAGAAGTGCTGCAATGTCTCCGAGCCACCCCGTAACAGGCAGCCCCAGTGCCTGGCTCTGCAGCGTGATCTCCCATGCACAGAGTGGTTCTGCAGTGCACGTGGGACAGGGGCAGCCCTTCACCTGCCACTAGCTGAAGAACTGCACACCTGCATTCTTCCTGCAGCCCAGACACCTGGGTGATCCCAGTGTCACCAGCAGAGCCTACAAAACCCAGTGTTGGACCTGTGCTTGGCAGAGCATATCTCCAGCCCTGTATTGCACAGGTGAGTCCCCAGTGATCGCTCCAGACCTGTCTGGGTCTATCCCATGGGGTTTCCACTGATCCCCCCACCCTGCACTGCACACCTTGCCTGTTTTCCCAGCCCACCAGCCCCACTCTCCTGTGTCACCCGCCCAAAGGACCCCACAGTAGCAGGTTTGTCTCAGGAACAGTGAACTGCCAGCCATCTGGAGATCGGTCCATTTGTTTCACTCCCTCTCCATCCTCTGGGGACAGGACAACATCTGCTAATAAGCTGGCAGAGCTCAAGAGATGATGGATGGAGCTGTCAAGGATACACTAGCAGGGAGTGAGCTGCTCCTCTCCCTCTCAAGTGGCTGCCTGCAAGCAGTGCTCTGCAGGTGGCCCTGGTGGGACCACCAAGGGCTGCTCCAGTGGGGCTGCAAATGCAAGCACTGCTCCCATGTCAGTCTCTCTTGGCTCTGTCTTCTGCCCAGGAGGGCTGGGCAGGGTGAGGGCATGGCTGAGGGTGACATGGGGCAGCTCTGTGACACTGGTGCTACCCTTCCTGAGCCTTCAAGAGATCTGGGCATCTGCAAGCAGCAGAAGAGCAGCCATGTATCTCCCTTTGGCCTTGCTGGGAAGAGACAGAGATGGAAATAAAGGTGTCACAGCCACTGTGACAGCCAGAGACAGGCACCAGTCCCAGAGCCCCCCAGGCTGCACAAGCCAGCACAGAAAATCCCAGCCTCCTTTCAATCTAGTTTCAGCATGATGCCTCAAATCTCAGCTCCCATATGACACAGACACTGAAACAGAAGCCAGTTATTCTCAGTCATGTCTTAAAATGACACATTTGCCTCATTGCCCAAAATTGTCTGTTTCAGCAGGGCTGTGCTCCCCTCTCCCTGCAATCCCAGGTCAGCCCAGGCTCTGGGCTCTTCAGTGGCCTGGAGGGAGTCTGGGGGCCTGGCTGGGCAGCTGCTGTCAGTAATCTCCTGGTCCAGAGGTCATGCCTCGCCCTGCGGCCCTGCTGGTGCTCACATTCCCTCCTTGTGCTGCTTGTCTCCACACTGCCTCAGCCGTGGTCACCTCTGGCCCCTGAGCACCACATCAGCCTGTCCCAGCCCCACTCCCACCTTGCAGCCCCTTTGCAGCGTTCACAGATCTTCCCACCCCCAGTACAACCCGTCACACCACTGCATACCCTTGAACTTGTCTCCTATGGCCCCAGTCTCCACCTCACATCACTTCCCCACTTCCTGGCCCGTCTTCCCACAAGTAACCCACTTCATACCCCATTGTACCCCTGAGTCTTTCAGAGGAGGAAAGAGGAGGAGTTTTTTACCCATTAAGGCTTTGCAAAGCCAGCAGGACCCTGTGCTTGGGGCTCTCAGCAGATGGCACACACGGCAAAGACACTCTGCATCCTTCTTGGTAACACCCAGGTTTCACTGCCACCAGAACAAGTTTTATTTAGGAGGGTACTGCCCTTCCAAGTGGAGGAATTCCACTTGTAGTGCTGGGAAAACTGGAACTGCAGTTGTAGAGACTGGATGCATCCCAAACTGGAAATCTGCATGATACTGCCATAGAAAAATCAGCAGGTCTTAGAGTCACAGAATCACTTAGAATCACACCTCTAGCATAGAATTCCAGAATCCCAGAAC